CTCACACTTTCACAGGGTTCCTTTTGTTCTGCATCAACCATTTCCTAGATGTAACAATCTGCATGGTTTTTCTGTGCTTTCAAGCTTCGCCGTATGAAGTAAACCGTAGGTACACCGAGTCTTAATCTCAGATAATATGTAAGTGCCTTTGATAAATTTTACAATTATATTTTTATAATTATGCCTCCTGCTTCCTCATAACCCCACACTAAAAATGTGCTGGCCGTTTAACCAGAGCCAGTTAAAGGTTGTGTAAGAGAAAAGACTTAACAGAATACCACTGCTATAAGGTAAGTTAAGGCATAAAATTGTAGAATTTTATATGAATATGTATGTGTATCAATACATAGATAATTTTTACAATAGATCACTGAACAATGGTATATTGATAGGGCTACTGTACTAATATAACCAGTAACCACACTGTAATTGTTCTTTATTTACACACCTGAATTGAGCCAAATTGTTTTTCCGTTTTTTGCAATGTTTTAAATTTGATCACTAAAATACAGAAAATGACTCGCTTAGGTTTTAATCAAACATATGTGGTTCACAAATGTTTTTACTGTCTTACTATTTATATGCATGCATCAGTTTTGCATTTCAAAATGAGTTTTTCTGCCTTTGCTATTTTATTGTGCTTAATTTATCTTTTACAGTGCTTTGAGATGCTGGAATGCAGAGCACTCGAAGGATTGATCAGCTGAAAATTTTCACATGGATTTTTCACACACCTGTCAGATCTAACTCCCATACATACAGTATTTTAAAGAAAGAAGTCATTGCCTCTTTTGTGACAGAAAATGCAAATCTTACTTATGGTGATATAGTACTGACAGACAGTAAAGCCCATCATTGCATGCATCATGAAATGGTGAAGAAAACTTGCCAAATGCTCTGGTATTGTAGGACTACATCTCAGAACTTTGTATTCCTTTGACATTTTGAGACCTTTTGACCTTTAAGCAATGTGAGAATCATAAAACCAGCTTTACTCTTTCATTAGAATTCAGTCTCACCACCTTCTCCCTTTGCCTTCTAAATTCTGCACTGCGCTGCAATTCTGAAATGACCAGGGGGCCGTTTCACATTACGCACAACAGAAAAAAAACACAGGAATAGCTATTACCAGTTACCAAATAAGTGAACATAGGCCCTCTCTAAATCTCTGTAAGACTTTTCAAAGCAAGGTTGGATAGCTCTGAGGGAATTAGGAAACTTTAATTACCCTGGAGGACAGTAGAAAAAAGGGTGAAGATTTAAAATATAAATCTTAGCTACTGTATGTGTTTTTTGGACAGCAGGCTGGCTGACATTGATCCAGCTTACCCCAGCTAGCCGAAGGGACTATACTAGAATATAAAACACTTACTGTATACTCATCAAAACCAAAAGCAATACACAGAACAGCAAACATGCGGAAAAATACAGAAACAGTGACATTTAAAGTTGTCTTGATTCTGATTCATTCCTTATTCTTAATTTTAATCATCCTTTTTTAGCATCCTGTGTGTATATATATAAAAAAAATCCAAAATAAGTTTTCATTTTTAAATGCACATAACAGAAGAGGAAGGACAGACTTCTGTATCCTCAAGGATACACTGGTATCAGGTGTCAAGAAGAAAGTTGCCTTCTGACAGGGAGACCTTAAGCTGGTGCAGTTAGGCCCAAACTTCAGTTTGGAGATAATACTATCCTGCATTGAAATAGAGCCCCTTGTCCTTTAAGAACGATTTCTTGTCCCGTATAAGATATTGCAACAAAGAAGGGCTGATTATGTGTGGGACAGATTCTTGCACGAGGCAGAAGGCTGTGCAGGCAACCTCAGTTACTTTAGGAAATCCAGGAAGCCCATATCCAAAAGTGCAGGACCACCTTCTTAAACAACACACAGTGTATCCTGTCTGTTTGAGGTGTATTTAAGCAGCATAAAAGTTTAATATTATGCCAAACTCATAAAAAAGTAAAAACCATAAAATACACATTAGCACAATTTAGTACAAAGGACAAAATCCCAGATTCCTATCAAAATCTAAGTTGTGAGGTATGAAATAATATGAGTCACACAGGAAAAGGTAGCATTGTAATGGGGAAAGACATTCTCCCTGTTTCTGTTTTCTTTCTTGTTTTATAAGTGAACACTTGTTCTCCTCTCATTTCACTTCTTAATCAGAATCCTGGAGGGTATCCATCTCCTGCCAGACCCCAGTTCTGTACAAACACTAGTCCAGTAATTGATTTAACAAAATCTGGGCTTCCCATATGATGCTGTGGAACAACTCATTTATGTTGCCTTTTCCACCTCTTACTAATACAAATGTGACAAGTGTAGATTAAATAACAGTAGATACTCAGGAAAAAATACTGTACAATATATTATGCAGGTATGTTTTTAGAAAAATAAAGTATATGGATTTTGGATATTGATTAAATGTTTTCAGCTTTACTTGGATAAACTGATCATTCACAACTTAACTGTGATACGCATACTAGCATTGACAGCTGCAGAAGCACAATGTCACTTCCTTAGTGAGAGAGTTGATTTGGCACAGGTGATGAGGTGGTTTAACCTGATGAGTGATAAGAAAGGACCTAATATTTTCCACTCATCAAGACAGCAATGCCTTCATGCCATTAGCATGATAGAAGCTGGACTAAATTAGTGCACTGTTACTGGTGTATATAGCCAGCACTTTCTAACCTGCCAAGACCTTTTTAGCCAAATACAGCCTGTTAATGACAGGCCATGATCTGAGTAATCATCAGTCATGCCACTTTACCTTTAGCAGAGTGATGTTCAGGGCAGAGATGTGTGCCTGCAACAGAACTCCGCATGTAGTAATTGATGGAACGGGAGACAGGGATATTTTTACGAGCATTCACTCTCCAGCCGGCTCTGTGTGAATGAGAGCAGGCCAGCTGTCTTCTAATCATTCAGCCAATCAACCCAATTCCCAATTAGTCAACCTGTTTAAGACTCAACTGTCTGCTGGACCAGTGCTCTGACATGGGGCTACTGAGAGCTGACAGACAATCATCTCTGCATCATCCACTGATGGCTTTTATAACCATAGCCTTTCAAAGCACCGATCCAGAGGAGAATTGCTTCTCCTCGGGTAAGTTCTCTATCAGCTGATATCCCAGGCAGCTCTCCTCTGCCCATGCTAATCAGACAACTGGCCATGCTGTCTGATTATCAAGACAGCCTTGATCCTTCTCTTCCGAAAATTCCCAGAGAATTCTGAAGTCTTGCGGTTGGGTTTCGACCTCTGCTCTGCTCTTCAGTGCCTGCCTTGGAGCTAGATTGATCAAGTCCTGAGACCTCACTTGCTCCCCTTGCTGTGGGCTCATCCTGGTGTGACAGCCTCCCAATGGGATGACACATGTCCTCATTCTGCTCATGTAACAGCAGCTTTCTTGCATGTGGAGGCTGTGACAGCCATGCTGTGGATGCTTGAACCCATCTTACCACATGTGGCATGAGCAGGGACCACACATGACCAATCTGGCTTAAGAGACCAGTGAGCAGACACATGTCTGTCTATAAAAGAAAAATGGAATAGAATCCTACAAGACAGGATGAATCACATTATGATGCAAAGCACGTGTCACAGATGTGCAATTTGGAATGCTACCAAGGAAAGTGCACATGCTGATAGTCTGAGGCTTTCACAGTAAAGCCCCTGTTGATCAACACTGTTGATGACAAATGTTAATTACCATAATGAATTTACTTGTGCCATGTCTGTTCAATAAAATGTCAGTGCGCCTGCAACACATTTTTTGTCATTTTCCTGATGGTAACTTTGAGAATTTGTCGCTGATGTAAATAAGTCTGAGTCTTTTGATTTTCATATACTGTATATTGTATGTAGGTCAAACTTAATGGGATGCCAGCAGTGAAACAGTGGTTTTGCTGCTTATGATGCAAAAAATGTAATTTAAAAGCCTTTTAAGTCTTTTTCATTCTTTGCAATTTCAAACTGCAATTTCAAGCATTGCAATTGTGCCTCAAATATAAAGTTATCCCTTATGTTGCACACAAAGTGTTTTCAAGTTGTTGTTGCTTAAAATGAGGAGGTCTTAAAGTGATCTATTTTTCATGCAAAATGACAAAGACAAAGATGCAAAAAGACAAAGATTGAGCTTCCTTATTTTTTGTCCAGCCATTGAGAACATCAGTTTTACAGCAGAAAAACCACAGTAACTATATGTCTAACACCACTCAAACTAATGGAATACATCTATTCTTAGTTCAATGGGTTTTTTATAAGACAATCCTTCGGCACCTTTGTGAAAATGGGTCAGCTCTAAGAAACTAGAAGCTCCCTTGAAATGTACAGCTCTTGATCCTGAAATCTACAGTAATTTGCAATGTGTGTTTTTTTGGGTTATTCCTTCTTGAAAAATAAATGTAAAATTTGCTGAAACTAATATGGTTTTAAAGTATTGGTGATTGAGCATTGATGCATATCAATTCAATTATAGTGCTTGATATCAAGGATCTTAACAGTCCGGGAATGCAGTGACAGATTAAAACATTTTGTTCTCTTCTGGTGACACTGTATGTGTTAAAGATAGATCAATTTTCCATGAGGAGAGAGTGTTGTTCGGCAGCTCTCAAATCATGTTTTTATCACAGAAACAAGCAGGGTGATAGATACTGACATTCGTTCTGTACAACATTCTAAAATGTTGAATCCAAATGTTGAAACTATTGAATTGGCTCTAATTGGGTACTAATTGGAAGGCACATTTGGTGTTTAGAAATCAGAGAAATTTATGAATTATTGAAAATCTGGAGGAAGGTTTAGCAAAAAAGCGAATCCTACCGTCCTTGACTTGTGCATATGCAAGGGAATAATATGAAGAATAATATGACGTGATGAGTTGAAAAAAAATGAAACAGTGCAGGACTCCTTAGAAATTGTAGATGTGGGTGTGAGGGTACAGGTGGTAGAGTAAGGTGATTCTTTTGGAAACATATAAAACTCAAACAGAAAAGAAGTGGAAAAACAAGCTCTTGTCTAACAGATGCAAACATTAATGTGGGAGGTGGAGTTCTTTTTTCAGGATCAAGTCAATCTCTTCAGAGGGTATAAATGCAGAGGAACTCTCACTCAGCCTGTGCTGTGCAGAATTACAAACCTGCTCTGTCATATCGATAGAGAGGACTGAATGAGCAAGGCTCGGAGGGGATTAGGACTTCTCCTTGCAAACCCGTGAACACGATATTCCAAAGGACATCAAAAACCTACAATTTCTGAATGCGACACAAAGACACAGGTAAGATTTTGTCGATCCTTCTTGTAGATATTTCTAGTTAATACAAAATGCACAGCCAATAGAGATCATTCCAATTGATGTCAATTGGAGTTCATACAAAACAAAAAAAGTAAAATTCTATGTAAAATATCATTATGAGCTACATTTTAGATATTTACATATACTGTATATATTGAAGTGATTTATTTATTTATTTATTTTTAGACTGTTATCTACACTGTAGTCCATTTCTGGTTATTCAGCAGCTATTGCAAAGTTTTGGTGACCTGACTGGTAAAAATTAAAAATTAAAAATACCATTTTAAACAGTAACCTTTAACCTTGGTACAGCTGTAACCTTTTTTTTCCTCTTAAGTTGTGCAAAAGGATACAATATATAACATACTAGGATTTCAAAATGTAAGAGCCTCTTGCCGGAATATAATTGTTTTTGATTCTTTTTTGAAAGGAGTTTTTTTTTAAGCTGATTAAGCTCAGTCTTGAGGCATGATCAATACCCGTGCCATGTGCCAGAAGGAACACATGGCCTGAGATTTCCTGGTCCATGTCATGTGCAAACTGCGATGCCAGAATCAGCTGGGAACTGCCTGGGAACTGGCAGGGAATATGAAAATGGGGCTCAGCCTCTGGAGGATTAGGGAAAAGTAATGGAAACACACTTCAGTTTTGTTGGTTAATTTTGCAACCTGAAGGTAATTGTGCTCCGACTATCTCTCCTTGAGGCTGCATAGTCAGAATCAGAGGTTTTCCTGTTGGCTTTTTCCTGATAAAGGCCACTGAGGACTTGGAAGAAGGAAGGCAAGATCAAAGTCCGCCACTAGAACTACTTCCCAGTCCTCAGACACAATAGGAAGACTATTACCCGAGGAGAGAAATGAGGAGCGAATGTAAATGGTTATGTCAAAATGAGTATTATGATAATAATATCTTATATTGCACCTTTAAAAACAACTCAAAATGCTTCACAGCAAAAGAAAATGAACAAGGAGATGAAGTAACAAAATTAGTATGATGCATAAAAATAATTATGAAAAAAGTGAAAAAATTAAACCGTGATGCTTTAAGTGATGGCAGAAAATTTAGAAGTTTTTTACAGGAAATACAAAGCTTTTAAGAATTGCTTCTAGAAAAGAATATCTAATGAGAAGATACTAAATAAACATCCACAGACAGCTTTTAGGTTGTAATCATATTAATCAGATAAATTAAGAGAGTGTGAACTAAACTAGCAATGAGAGTATTAGCAAATACTTTTACTAGCATAGGTTAATCACAAACCATATTACCAAGCTGACAGGATAATACTGTACATTTTGTATTTTAATCATTAAAAATATATAATCACTGTTTTTTCACTGGAATCACTGGAAATTGAGTGATGATACCCATTGAAACCTAATTCTATTTAATGAATAATGAAGAATCCGAAGAAGCTAATTTGAACCCTCTTTCCTTTTCATTTTCTTTAAGTACACAAATAGCTTACTGAATCTTTTATAATTGTACATGTTTCGTCCTGATAAGCCTTCTGCAATTTCTTCTTTATTGCTCCTGAAATCTTTGTCCACACATAATTAATAAGTACAGTTCCATCAAACTTGCCTTCTGCTTTTACTGTCTCCTGAGTCTCCTCACAAAAAAATGTCAGAGACAATGAACAGTAAAATATCTTGGTTGCTAGAAAATGGCTTTATCAAACAGTCCTTCACAGAAATACCTTCAGATTCCAGGTACCTTGTTTGAATGTTCTGATACAGCCAAACTAGACAAAAAAGTGGCCGGCAAATATTCACTTAAAATGATATAACGGTGGCGAGTTGAAATTTACTTAAACAAATTATGTGTTGATTCAATTTATCATGAAGCCTTACATGTGAAGCGTGTTTTTATGATATCTAAAAGCTTAATTTTACTAAGGCAGATGTTTGTAATTGAATTCAGCTAATTGATAGACCAATTTGTTCAGTGATTAGGATTGGATTTTTAATACGCTGATGCCTGACTACTTGAAGATTCTGTTCAAGGGCATTGGCACATTATTATCTTAGTAGCCAAAAGAGCAGCCTGCAGAGATGGGATTGGAGAATGTAGAATAAGGGACTGAAATTGAAACAGCAGGGAAAGCAGGAAGATTAGTGACCCAGAGAGTAGATTGCTCAGAAAATCTAAAGGGAAAGAAAGGCAGAAAACACAATCACTGTATGAATGGAACATTGCTAATATTGCAAGAGGTGGAAGGAAGATTAAAAGTTATTTCTAGCTATTGGAAATAGAAGCCCAGTTTGTGGGGATCCTCAGTCGTGACTGAGTGAGGGTGGGCCTTATGTGGCTACAAGCATTTCTTGTCTCACGGTAATACCTACCCAGTAAGGCCAGTGAAGCAACTCATACCATTCCAGAAAGGCAACATTGTTCAACAGTAGGGTAGTGAAATTATGCACATTTGATAGGTTGAGGCATAGCGGTACTGTGGTTAGCATTGCTGCCTCGCAACGTTGGGGCCCTGGGTGCAATTGCTCATCTGGCCTGCTACCCGTGTGGAGTTTCCTCTGGGTGCTCCAGTTTCCTCCCACAGGCCAAAAACATACTGGTATGTTTGTTAGTTTCAGGGAAACGTGACCCTGATGTGAATGTGTCAGTGTGTGTGTATCTGACCTGCGATGGACTAACATCCTGTCCAGGGTGTATCCTGCCTTGCGCCCACTGTTTGCAGGGATAGGCTCTCCCATGACTCCGAACTGGAAGAAATGATTTGAAAATGGTTGGATAGATGATAGCTAGTCCCATGTATTCAGTTTCCAATCAAAACCACTTCAGCAATGAAGAGTCTCCCACACAAAGCCTATGCTATTTATACTAAATACATTAATCATCATTTATTTATTTGTGGCATGCCTACTCAAGAGGGGAATTACAGCAAATCTGCCATTAGAACCCTGGTATACAGCCTCTAATTACTTGTAAATAGCCACACTGGGTTTATTGACTTAATCATAGCATAATTGATATAGGGTTTAGAATGTCACATTCTTAAATGGATACAATTAGGCTTTTGTTTGCTGTTTAAAAGGTGTACATAGTGCTACCACAGTTATCGCAACCACAGGTGGTTGATATGCTGTAATTTTTTACTCCAGGATTTCACTAGTTCATGATAGTTGTGAGTTTTTGCATTTCTAGACACAGCTGCAGTCGAATAAGCCCTTGGTGCTATTTTTTTTAGTTTTTTTACTATTCTTATGCTTCTAAACGGATTAAGGGTTTTAATAGAAAAGGGGTTAAGAACGTATGGAATTGAGAATCTTCTAATGTCAGTTTGGAATAGATTGTGTAGGATCTAAATATAAAGTCATATATACTTGAAATTGTCATATTTGCAAGCTCAGTAACAACAAAATGTGCAAACTCTGTAGGCAGATGGGGGGATTGTGTGTGTAAATAAGAAGCTATATATATAAACCTTTAAAGCTATACATTTTTATATTTTAAAATTTTGCATCCTAATGACGTCACTTACGAATGAAAAAATACTCATACTTCAATCTTTCTTAGTTGTTGACAAAGACTGTCAGAAATACTGTAGAAAAAGTGAACAAAAAAAACCCATCTGAAACAAAGACAGGCAGACGCACATCAAGTGGCTCACAGACGTCCTGACAATGAGATGCTGATTTATGCAGACAAGCTCTCAGGCTGTGCTCTGTACACCTCCATTCTGAAGTTTCTCATTTCAATAGTTGGTAATCTTAGCTGGGAAAGGCTGCACTTTAACTGAGAAACTGCAAACATCATCCACTTTTACTTCCAGTGAAAAGAAGCTGGTTTTCCCTGGTATTTTAAATGAAGAACTAATACAGAATTCAAAATGTAGCATCCATGATAGCTTACAAATATTATTGATTAACATAGGTGTTTCATCATTGCATACAGGGAGTGCGCCAGTGTTACACTGAAATGGGATAAATATCAGAAACACTTCTCATCTGGTGAAGATCAGGTTGCACACATAACCACACTGCATCTATGTGCCTTGCAATTCAGAAGCAACAGTAAACTAAAAATGATGAACAAATCCAACAAGTACTGTTGATTTTGAAAAAATGTGATTTTTAAACTCATTTAAAGGTCAGAAAGTTAACCTCCTTTTTGGCCCATAGTGCATAGTATAGTCTGGGTTTTGCTATTGTGAAACAAGATGACCTACTGTAACTGTATTTTGTGCTACGTTTTTCTGAGGCAGCTTTTTTTCCCTTCTGTTTCAAAGGACCTCGGTCCATTTTCTAAAAGGACATCATGAGGCTGAAGTGTATATGAAGAAAAAGATAATCTGATTATTAATATATTGACTCTGCAGCCAGGTTCTGCTTCACATTTTTCTGGGACTTCAAAAGTTTTTTTTCCCAGTGACACATAGATTAATATGAATTATTTTTATGCTATCCTCCAACATCCCACGCCTGGCTAGGCACCTTCAAAAATGAGAAGAAAACACACAATCCCCTTGACCTACAAAATCCAATAAAAGACTCTTTATTAAATCCCTGTTGGTGAAGCTTAAAACTCAATAAATGGTGGAGATCCATTAAGGTCAGCAATTACAAAAATAATTTTTAGCATTGAAAGAACGGCTCTAACACTGTACACCACAGGCCACATTCTAATTCTGTTATCTGGTTAATTTCTTATTCCATCTCTGCTGCTCTGTCATATATGATGGTAGTGCAAGTGAAGGGGTATTTGATGTGAAGAGGGCACAATTACAGTATCTAATTAATCATCTTTGTATTTTTAGAGCAGCTCTTAACACCTTATCATAATGGTTTCAACATGTGCAGCTTCTTACAGTCAGGAACTGAAGCCTAGGGACACGGGAAAACAAACACAAAATCAGTTTAACATAAAAGAGAAAGTATGAAATTATTCCATAATCTATCACCTTTCTATACAATTTTCTACAAAACTACAGAAGGCCAGATACTTAAATACATACTGTTATAATATTTTTATAGGATTTACCTTTACAAATTCTCTTATTTTCTGTTTAACAGGAGCCATACAAAAGAAAAAAGAAGGATAAAACACCCTTTTTCTTTACCACAATTAACGACTTAAGTCAATTTACTTTGGAGCCGTTTCACATAGATAAATAGAAAGGGGAATAATTAAGCCTTTAAAAGATCTACAGATTCATCCAGGGATGTTGGTGGGGATTGCTAATTTGACCTTTTAAAAAACGGAACGCTGTGCTGTCCCTTTCTTTCCATTTCTTCACTTTTTCACATCTTGGCTGTTTCCCAAGGGTCGCTCCAGTGATAACGAGAGTGTGGGCTCAGAGAAACAAAAACACAAAAGCTGTGAATAGTCTTAGTGAAGCAGTACCTATCCATCTTAAATTAAATTATACGCAAGACAATAGTTTGACAATGAAACTTTTTTCTCCAAGATTTGATTTGACTTCATTCTGATCAATGGGAGCTCTATGAAATTGCATTTAATTTTGGTCGATTGTGCCGGTTGTTTGAGATGAAATGGAATGCAGTATACTGTATGATTACACACACATATCTGTTCTAACACAAAAGACTATGGAAGAGAAATACAATTAGAGTGCCTCCATTTTTGTGCTGCTTTGACACCATAGTCAATAGTTTCTCTTCTTCCATTTTAACAGCTTTTCAAACAGCATGGTATGCTACAAAATGTCCTCAGAGTACACAGATGTATAAACACACAGAACAAAAATGCAACATGTCTTGAAGATGTACTGTAGTATGAGCACAGCATGTACCTGTCAAAATATTAATTTGTACTGGTATTTGTTTGCACACCCCATAGTGCAGGTAATAGTTTTAATTTGTGTATTTTGTATTTTAACATTATCAAGGACAGTCAGCATAACAGCAGTTACACAGCAGAAATTTGGTAACCTAGTAACGCCAAACAGTTTTATTGAGGAATAAATCTGTAAAAAAACATCTCAGAGACCATTGTTTTTTTTTTCTGTACGTGGGTAAACAGATGAAAATTACTTATTGGAAGATAATAAAAGACAAACTTCATAATAAAAAAATTCAGCTTCTTTTCAGAAAAAAACTCAGGCTAAGTTCCTTGCTTACACTGTTGTGATAAAACATTTTTTTTATTTCCTGTTATAATTTGCAATTGTATTCAAGGCTACAGATTGCAATTTGTGTTAATTAATATTCAGATTAAACAAATATGATAGGTACTGTATTTGCATGTAGGATTCCTGAAGTATAATTGTTGTAATAATTACCATATGAAGGGAAGCAAAGGAACTGTGTATTAGAATGATGAGGAAAATCTGGAAGAAAAACTTCTGGCATGCGAGGGATATATTTGCATAATCTAATTAAGGAAAATTTATGAATAAGGGAATTTGCATGGTAATAATAAGGGTTTGTTGCTAAAATTGTGTGTATCTACACTCTGCCACAAGTTGTCTGATTTTAATTAGAAATCTGGCTGACCGTTAAGTAAGAGTGTTACATTTCACACAGTGTCACTTTTCAAGTTAATCACAATTAAAGTGAAAATATAAGGTTCTGTACCTGACATCTCGCCAATAATTAAGAAGCAAAATCTAAGCTGCCTGTCTTACATGAACATTAATCAGCTCTATCTGTTTCTGAATGCTGGAGACTTCTGCTTGCTCTTCAATATACTGCAGCACTGAATGTAAATCCTTTGTTATATACTAAGCTTTTTCACTGGTTAAAATTCAGCTGTGCCATGGTGAACAGTCAGCTCTGATGATGAAACAGCTGTCTATGGCAGCTTGCATGGGACCTAACATTTAAAGTCTCTTAAAACTAGCGGTTCTCAATCTGTCTGTTGGTTTTTATTCTGGTCACAGTCTTCATTACCACCATTTTGTTTCTGTGTCTGCTGTGTTTTAAATGTACTTTTCTTTCAGGTCTGAATGTTTTGTGAGATTTGGAATCGGCAATAAAGAGTTACTGAACTCCCATTATTCTGGTGGGTTCCAGAAGGAGAAAAAACACCAACTGGTACAAATGATAATGTCTGACACAACGTCACCTGTGATCATCAAACAACTATCATCTTAGGAGCTCTTTACTTAGAAAGAAGAAGGAAATTCTTAATTAGAAAGTTGAGGAGAGAATGTCTCAAATGCTGAATTTGTTGAAAATACACTTAAATCTAGGGTATGTTTGAAACCATAGAGCGAGCAGTTTTAGCATAACAGTTAGATGCATCACTTATTACTGGTGATTAATAAGCTAGTTGAAACAAAAAACAATAAAGTTTTCTCAGGATCAAGAGTGGGAACCGATGATTTATTTTACTGCATATGGTTCTGCTATAATGCTGTTATGGTCAGAGCTCATAAATATCAATATATCCCAGGATTCTAAATCACTTCTATTTGCTCTTAAAATATTGCAGCTCTGAAAGTGGTTGCTTGTGAAATCTATAGTACTGTAACGCATACGGCCTCCATTGCTTGCAAGAGCTGGCTTACCAGCGCGGTGACATCACTGCCCTTCCCTGTGAATAGCAGGGATCGCAGCCGCCGGGCTGATGGGAGATTTCCCTTTGGCTCAAGAGGCTGGGTCCCTGTTGAGTGACGCTGGAGGCCTGGGTTCGAGTCCCTGACGGTGGGGGGGCCGACTAGAGGTGGCAGCGGCAAGGGCGCCCACGTGAACCCTGAAGCGGTACATTGGTGTCAGCGGTGGGATGGGCTAGCCCTTCGCCGAGGACGGCGAGTTAAGCGGGGGAGAGTGTAATGCATACGGCCTCCGTTGCTTGTGAGAGCTGGCTTACCAGAGCGGTGATGTCACTGCCCTTCCCTGTGAATAGCAGGGGCCGCAGTCGCTGGGCTGATGGGAGATTTCCCTTTAGCTCAAGTGGCTGGGTCCCTGTTGAGTGACGCCGGAGGCCCAGGTTCGAGTCCCCGACGGTGGGGGGCCAACTAGAGGCGGCAGCATCGAGGGTGCCCAAGTGAACCCTGTAGCGTTACAGTATAATTGATAGATTAATTTGTATGACTTATATATTATATGAAAATATATGTCAATACTGTGAAAATAGTCTACATAGAAACAGAAAACTGTCTTCTCCTATGTCAGAAAAGGGGAAAACACACACAAACAGCTTTTTCCAAAATGGGTATAAGTCATTAACTTATTAAGTCATGAATTTAGAAGTCAAGAGACTGATTTATGGTGTGTAAAGTCAGATGCTGTAAGTGAAGTATTTGTTAAAATGCAGTTTATGACACCTGGGTTATTATCACTATTTAGCACTGTACTGCTTCAAACACGTTAAAGATGTGAACATATTTCCAAAATTGGAGTTATAATTCCAGAAAAATAATCAGTTATCAAAGATGGAAGATCCTGATGGCATCTCCAGCTTGAACAAAATTCATTTGAACAAAATCCATTTGTGGCTTGCAGACAAAGAAACGTTCATTGTAATGGGGTGTAATAATTATTTAATTGGTGTTTATATCACATTTGGAAGCCTGGCCTCATTAAAGTAAAAAACCAAGATGATAATGTGAGCAAGTTTAAATGGATCATTGAAATCAATTTAACATAGGGCAGGGTAAGAAAAGACTGCAGAACTGCTCCTATTGTTATTTTAGACAATTTTAGATGAATTATTTGGTTATCTTATTGTAACTTTGCCTTTGTTATGTTTCTTTTTTTATCAAACTCTAATAGAGAGTTTCACATTAAAAGAAAAAATCTATGATAATACTTCAAGAGCTTCAAAACTCATAATTTCTTGTAGGTTTTAATACATTGCAATATTACATAGTTCTAGATTTTAAACATAGTTCTAGAGTATAAACATTTTACAGGTTTAAACTATTTAAGTATAAGGGGACATATGACGTAACTTTCTCCTGAGATTAATGATGTGGATATTAATCCCGCTATCAGGGTGTTCTCTTGTATTTCCTTCTAACCCCTGTGCTGTGCTGTGGGAAGCAATATTGAATTTTTTCTTACTGTTGTGTACCTTTCTTCTTTTAATTACTTGCACAGAAAACAATCTTTCAATGATGTGCTTCTCACCAAGGCCCTGAACAACACAGAATCGCCAAAGACCACTTCAGTAGTGTCCCTTTAAACAAAAAATGAATTCTTCTGACAAGATGCTCATGCAGGGTCCTCTGGCCACCAGCTCTAGCAACTCACAGAGCAATTTCACAGATCTCCCTGGGAAGACCAAACCAACAGCATGTGAGCAAGTCAATATAGCAACAGAAGTGTTTCTGACTCTGGGCATCGTCAGCCTACTGGAAAACATCCTTGTGATCTGCGCCATCGTGAAAAACAAGAACCTTCACTCTCCCATGTACTTCTTCGTGTGCAGCTTGGCTGTTGCAGACATGCTGGTCAGCGTGTCCAATGCCTGGGAGACCATTGTGATCTACCTGTTGAACAACCGGCAGTTGATTATGGAAGACAACTTCATCCGCCAGGTGGACAATGTGTTTGACTCCATGATCTGCATCTCCGTAGTGGCCTCCATGTGTAGCCTGCTGGCCATCGCGGTAGACCGCTATGTCACCATCTTCTACGCTCTCCGCTACCACAACATCATGACTGTGAGGCGGGCAGGTTTCATCATAGCTGGGATTTGGACCTTCTGCACTGGATGCGGCATCGTGTTCATCATTTACTCGGACACCACGCCGGTGATCATCTGCCTTATCTCCATGTTCTTTGGGATGCTGGTCCTCATGGCCTCCCTCTACAGCCACATGTTCCTCTTGGCCCGCTCTCACGTGAAACGGATTGCTGCCCTCCCTGGATACAACTCCATCCACCAGAGAGCCAGCATGAAGGCCGCTGTCACGCTAACCATACTGCTGGGTATCTTCATAGTCTGCTGGGCCCCCTTCTTCCTCCACCTCATCCTCATGATCTCCTGCCCGAGGAACCTGTACTGTGTCTGCTTCATGTCCCACTTCAACATGTACCTCATCCTCATCATGTGCAACTCTGTGATCGACCCTCTGATTTATGCTTTCCGCAGCCAAGAAATGAGGAAGACTTTCAAAGAGATCATTTGCTGCTACAGCTTGCGGAATGCCTGTGGACTCCCGAGCAAGTATTAGAAAAGACTGGCTGCATTCAGAGATTATCAGATTGATCAAGCATTTTTTTCCACCTAAGGTGTAAATATATATAAAGGAAATCAGACCTTAAATGCCTTGTTATCCTTGTATCCTTGTATAGGATACATTTACTTGTGAAGACTCGGACATCTCAGTCTCTTTAGCCTAGTTTAATTCTGGACCAAGATAAGGTTTTAAATGCAAAATATTTTAGATCAAATTCTCTGAAGGTACACCTGTCAGAATGTCTGTGACACCTGGTTGAAATCTGTGTGCTGTGCTGTATATACCTTGAAAGAAGACGGAATATAACCACCATTCCTCTCTTATAGCACTATATCAAATTAGTCGACTCCTGTATTCTTTAAAGCCAAAATGAATCTGATAAGTTGCTTTAAGATGTTGTTAAAAATAATCTAAGAATCAAATGTGTTTTAAAAAAACATTTAATCTGAAACACTGTTACAAACTACAAATAGTGTTAGGATGTACTGAAATTTCTAACAAGTCTCTTAATCAATCAAGACAAGAAGGATGGATTACAAAATGTAAAGAACTGCACATTTTACTGCTACCCAGCAAAACATTGGATGGGAACACAGAGATCTCTCAGCTCTCATGTTCTACTAAGATATAATATTCCATGTTGTGATGTTGTTCCTGTGAATAAAGCTGCAATGTTGGATTTCACAATATTTTAGTTAGTCTTTGAATAAAGTGACAAATGCAGTCTCCTCAATATATTCAGAGAACATCGCAATTGTATGTTGTAACTGTTTTTGTCATTATACTTGAAAAAATACTTAATTTACATTAGTTTATGTATTAAGGTGGTCTTTTAATGAATTTATTTCTCTGTTGTTTCAATGTTAGATATCAAATTCTGTTCACATTAAAGTTGACATTTTTTTATCAAATCGATTTTTTTAATTAAATGCTTTGTCATAAAAAGTCATACTTAACATCGTTCATGGAGACCTAATGGTCTCATATGGCCAATAGAGCCTGATCCTAGCTGCCCCCCAAAATTGCACAAACAAGGGAACAGGGGAGTGAAAATGAACATCTGCTGTAACGTTCCAATTTAACAGAGAGCAATATATTAAACACTCCATAGCACCATGGAGGAAAGGATCACTTCAGATCTAAATAACACTAAAAAGGAAAATCAGCTGCAGTGTATGCAAATTGAGATATGTGAGTACTGATAATAGATTATCTCAATGTTTAAATGACCATCTATGAGGTGTTAAGTAAGTTCTTAACAAGTTAAGTGCCTGAAGACCTTGTTGCTCAAGATCAGTCCAAAAGTAGCGAACCATCTCATCCTAAAAATACAAATATTCCTTGAGGATCCAGGCAGCTTGTAACCCTGTTTGGCCTTGGTGTGGCCCACATCTGCTGTGGACGGTTCTGCGGCAGTCCCTACTAGAAAAGAAACTGCGCTCAGTCATAGTCACCATTTTCTTGGATTTAAATGAAGTTCTCATGGCTAACTGTACGGTATGTCATAAAAATCTAATATAAAATGGAAGTAATATGCCAGTTTGTTTTAAAAATGAGACAAGTTATCAAGCATAAAAGGTATAGAATGGTAACGAAAAATATACTACTGCTTTTTGAGAATAAAGCTAAGCACAAACTGGGCTTGTCTATGCATTTATTGCCCTGCCACTGTATGTTTGGTTGTAGGTGTATTGTACTATAAATAAATATTAAGTGTAGCAAAATGGCCATTTTTTAAGTGGATGAAAATGTTTAAAACGTTTCCTTGTTTAATTTTCTAGGTGTTCAAGCTGAGGATAAAAGCATTAAAAAAATCTCTAAATTTATTCATATTTTATGTAACACTGCTTGTTAGTTTTTTTGTGAATTTTCCTTTAGCTGTTGAAATTGGAATAAACAATGAAATTCAAACATATCAACATATTTTCACTTGTGGAGGAGACACATAGAATTCTGAAGCTTTGTGAGATAACATTCATTCCTGTATGAACTCGATACACCAATTTAAGATCAGGTTAAGTTTCACCCCAGAAATCTAATAAATGTTGGATTGTCTTGCCTAAACCAAAGGCTGAAAGCAAAAATGGCACTCCGTCTTGACTTTTTTCAGTTTATTGAAAACTTTACCGTATGAGATCTAGTACATATATCATGATGAAACTAAATCCATAACTTTAAATGGAATAAAATGCTTAGAGAACTCAAAACTGATTGAGAAAAATAGTGCCTAAGTACGACCAATACACAGAACATGCAGACATTAACAGGCACCTGATTGATCGGTTTCCCTTTCTTGTCTTTACTCATCTTGCTTCACATGACAAAATTACTGCCTGTTACTCAGGTATGTGGTGCAATAAATTATATTATCTGATTGTCACAGCAGATGATTGAAACAGGTTCCTGTATACATCAACATTTTTTTGAACATGACTTCCAACTTCCTTTTCAACTTCCCAGAGATGGTCAGACCGAGTAAGTGTTTGCTAACAAATGAATAACTAATTAGACAAACTGATTTATATAAAGTAGATTTATAGTAACTACCATGTTTACGCAAATAGTCTTCTAAATGTAACATGATGTCATGCACAGATTTGTTGATTCGTCGTCCATATGCAAATCTAGATTTGTTTTAAATACACACCATTGAAAAATAAAAACAGGTGCAGTTTTCCTTGTGGATATGGTTTTGGATTTTCTTCCTCTTAGAGGTCTATTAATGTTACAAGGTATATTGCAGGTAAGTCACCAACTACAATTTCCATAAATGCATGAGGCACCCTTTGTTCCATTATAATGCGTATGAGAATCTAGACATCTCCAAATATTTAGTTATCCATCAGGTATTTTACTACATGAACACATGAAAAATCAATGCCTAACACAAAGAGGCAAATGTCATGCAGAAATAAAGAATAATACTTTATTTTACTCACCCAACCACAACTTTTCATTAAAGCTAGAAGGCAGTTCTTGTGAAGTGGGTTTCTTAAACTTCTTTGGGAATTTATCCTGTTAGAAACATTTATAAACACTGTACTTTATGTGGTGGATTGCTGATTTGATCTTCCCATTTCTTTAAGAGAACACTAATGAAACTGATTTCAAACATGCCACCTGAAGATCCTATTAAGGCTTTGTACTCTAGATGTGCAAACTCACCTGCACTCATATCAATGCACCCATCCACTCATAAATCAGAAATCCAAAAGTTACCAATACGAGTCAGATGCAAAAGCAGGATCTGTGACTGTGCATGTGTGTAATTTATACATTTTTACATACGCTTTCATAAAGTGAGCTGTTTATACAAAAACCCAAGCATCTTGTGAAGGTAAATGATCTACTGTAATTGGCTATTTTGCTAACTACTGTTCATAAGCCAGAAGGAGCCTGTCTTATTACATCTTTGTTGGACCAGTTTAAATATTCACCATAGTCCAAAAGCTGTGGATGATTTGAAGAAAACTAGAAAAAACTCCAGAACTATGGAACCCATAGTCCTACAGGGACAAGAATTGGGGAAGACACCTGTCATGGAAGACCAATGCTAATTCTATTTTAACTTCATTCTTTCTGTAGGTCAAAACTGTTGCCGAAAATGTAAGATCCCTTTGCCTAATATGTTGAGTTTTTTAAAAGAGAAAACTGGAGCCACACTTCCCTTGTCTGTACTGTATCATGTTCCATTATGTTATCACATTATATTAGATTATATCATATCTTGCTACATTATCTTAAAAGTCAAAGCAGAAATTTCAAAAAGAAGCTCAGAAATAGCCACCACATACCCGTGTACCTGAGCAAAAAAACATTTTTCTTAGTGTATTTCTTAGCTCCGCGCTTCGGAAAGCATAAATGACAGGGTCGATCACTGCGTTACACATCAGCAGAATCACATGGACCTGGAAAAGGGACCGGTAGCATTCACAGTAGGGGTTAAGTGGGCACACCATTAAGATGAGAAGATGAAAGAAAAATGGCGACCAACAGATGATAAAAACGCCGAAGAGAATTGTCAGTGTGATGGCTCCCTTCATGTTGTTCTTCTGGCGGGAACGATTTCCTGGCAGAGACGCTATTTTCCAGACATGTGTCCGGGCCAGCTGAAATATGTGCACGTACAAAATCAGAATTAAAACAAGGGACACCAGAAAGAGCGCTATGAAGCAGGTCATAATCACAGTAGCGCGGAAAAAGATGATCATGACCACGCCGCTCCCCGCACAAAATGTCCATATGCTTCCCAGGATGACAGCTACGCGTTTCATGGTCATTATGTTGTGGTACCTCAAGGCGTGGAAAATGGTAATGTACCGGTCAACAGCAATGGCTGACAAGCTGAAAATAGATCCCGTGAAGGACATACAAAGCAGAGTGTCCATCACGTCGTCCGTTTTCGTTTCAAACTTCCCCCTAGAATCCAAGCGGCCCGCGTCGGTGAACACCAGCATGGTGTTCTCCAAGGCCTTGGACACGCTGGAAAGCACGTTGAACAGAGCGAGGCTGCAGATGAAGCAGTACATGGGGGAGTGAAGGTTCTTGTTCTTTATGACGGCCACCACCACCAGCAGGTTCTCCGTTAGGCTCACCATTGTGATGGCAAAAAATATCTCATTGGGAATTTTCACCTCCTTGCAGTCTGTTTCATTCACATTAGCCCCTGTGGAGTTGTTCATGGTGTTTGTGTTGCCCTGCTTCTCGGCCTAAGCTCCTATTAGGTCCTTTGTTTTTTCTATTTGAGATTTCCCATCAAAAGTCTCCTAGAAGTAGCAAAAACAGAAGATTAGCAGGTAACACACCTTAAATCTGATTCAGTTTATACTGTATTCTTCCCTGGGATTTGCAGAATAAAAGATGACCTTCACATTTTCGTACTGTACAACACTCACTCGCGCCTTCTTTCTGAAATCTGAAACCTTCAAAATTTTTATTAAAAAAGACTGTCAACAGTCTGAAACTGAACTTAGAGCGAGAAAGCTTAAGCCTGTGAGAATGAACATGTTACAATTTTACAAAAGACCCACAAAACTGCGTAGAGAAAGGTTGATGAATTAGCCACTTAAAAGAAACAAGTGACTCACCCCAAGCACATTATGAGTGTAAATAAATCTTGGTTTATTTTAAATGCAAATTGAGCCAGAAATTCTCATTAATCAAACGAAAGAGTGCTTGAAGTACGTGCAGTTAGGGAGAGCAGAAATTGTGCCCAAATTAAAAATTGTACAAAAGGACTCCAGCCTGTTTAAAGGTGATCTGAGAAAATGAAATAAAAAGGGGACTGAGGTATGAAATCAATTGTCTCTGCCTCTGAAGTTCTGTAAAAACAGGACTGGGAGTGATCATCTGTAGAGGCTGCAAGAGTTTTCATGTCGCAGGAGCAGATCTTTGAGAAAGGCGGAGAAGAATGAGAAATAAAATGAAATGAAATGTTCCTTTCTCTAGCATTCAATAATATCATTTAACAGTTTGAATGGAGTGGGACAGTCCACCACGCACCAGATATTTGAAGTTGGGGTTGAACTGGTAAAAACAAATGGAATAAGCGAAATATCCCCACTGCTGGAAAACCTGTTCCACTAAAACTTTGTTACACCAAATTACACCAAACACATGTAATTTTGGCTGTGCCATCTGACATTTTTCAAAAAAGGTCACATGCAAGATCTTGTAACTCCCTACAGAATTCTGATAGGGTACAGGTCAAAATGGAACACATACAGGAACCCAGAAAGGCTCTGTCCAAAATAATCTTGGTCATGGCTTTTTGAATCCTTTTAATGAAATGCAAAACGTATAGCTCCTTAATACAGACAGGGCCATGTTAAAATTAGAACGCTATCATTAAACATCAGATATTGATTATACTTGTGAGAGCCACTCCTGAGACCATCCTGATTGTCATTACAAGAACTGAATTGTAAAGCAGAACTGTCAGATTTATTCTCTTGGTATTAAGTGCAACGGGAATTTTATCTGTGTAGAGAGAATGTGATAAATGACATATTCCTAATGGAAACCCTCACTGTCAAGGAGTAAATGTCAGTGATGACTGCTCATTTTTGTAATATTCATTCACACTCACAAAACATCTTGGCTACTCATGGGATGTCTTTTAACCTCCTGAAACAGAGTACAGAGCAATAAACTGTGAAAAGTGGATCTTCAAGGTAATGTTTATCATGTTTCTAGACATTATTTGGAAGGCAAAATATAAATGCACACCAATTTCTCTGTTCTTAGAAAAGATAATACGGACTTTGGCTGTATTATTTGGTCACTTTAGAAGTCTGTATGTTTCCGATTCATGGCCTCTTGATTTAGACACACTGTTCCAACAGATAAGAAGCTTATCTTGTCGTTGGTAAGATTTATTATAAATGGGTTTTTATGCCTTTCACTGCTTGCAAACTGTGCTCAAAACTTTAGATCTCATACTGTAAATACTTAATGAAAAATATGACACCAGTCTACCCTGCCTGTTATGGTACTGCTTGAGAAAAGAAGGAATAAGACTACCACTCACTGTTATGTGTAATCAGCCACTCAATACCTGAAGCACACTCTTCACCTTCTTGTAGGCAGAGGCTATTTTATGAGCAAATGTGCTCAGTAGATTCTGTTAAGAAGAGCAATGTTAATAAAAGATAATCACATTTTACATCTGACCGACATAGCCCAAAACAGAATTGCTATGTATTAAAAAGTGTTAAATGGGCTTCATGTCCGAGGGCTTTAATGTGTTGTAAAATGGAGAATTCAAATTCTCCTGTTTTGTCATAATGTACTGTAGGTATAGAACACAGCGTTATCTCTGCCCTGAGACAGACTTCATGGGGAGAGGCCTTAACATTCAGGTTGTACTTTCTCATCTATCATATCGTTTTAGAAACAACACAGTCCAGTACTCTTCCGCATGTACGATTACTGATAGAAGCAATTAAGTTGCTAAAAAGAGAGTTTTGATAATCATAAAGATTAGAATTAAGTCCACAATAGTGGGTGTCTGTACACTTTTTTAAAAGTCAACAACATCTACAAATGCAATTATTTCAATCAAAAAGTATAATGAAAGGCATAATTACTTAATTGTGTTTTTTTCTGTTTTAGGCTTGTTACTACCAAAAATGTTTTTAATTACACTATTTGTTACACTAAAATTATAGATCAGTTTAGATCACAATTCTCTACATTATGGATCCTGGCTATCTACAAACAGCTGGTCAATATTGTGTTAGACTGCAGTAATTGGATCCTCTTTTCTAACCCGTGCTCTTTCTTAAATCAGTTACTTTCAGGGAGGCTCCTTCAATAAGACTTTGTCTTGTCTTAGGACCTTCTTCTAGTCAGTAGTACGTGGGCACTTACCCTCTCCTTTAAATCCAAAGTGAATATATTTTGTCTGTTCTACTTCCCTTGAAGCTAAACTAGCTTGTTATGACATTCTTTCATAACTTGTGGATTACTTTAATGTACTTTGTACATATCTAGTAACTTTTTCAGTGTAATTTTGCTATTCCTCAGTGCATCATTTCTTATAGTAAAAAGCTTTCAGATACAAGGACAGTCAATCATAATGTATTTTGTTTCATTTTATTATTTCAAGTCACACAATGACTTGGAAATGCCAGATGGAGAGCTGTTAATTTAAATCTCAAGTCTGGTCTTTCATTTATATGTGTGCTCTAATTTTGAACAAAAAGTATTTCACAAGACATATCGAGCAATTTAGCAAAATTAATATGTACTGTAGGTGGGTTGAGTGTGAAAGGCTGAGAGAAGCATGAATGAAAAAATAAACTCTGTGGAAAGTATTACTGGTAAATTCACATGCCAAGTTAGGCAGAATAAACTGAATGCTCAGGGAAGAAACTTTCCTTCTTGAATGAAAATGTCTTTCCATTGGGAGCCATCTACACATGGGTACTGTAGGTCCAGTCTGCTGTTTATCTGATTAAATCCAAGCTTCATAGACGAAGATGAACGCACCTGTAAAATTACAGTCTAGAGAGGTGTCATTTTTTTTCTTAAAACATGAACTTAACTACTGTGAGGTGCAGCTGAGAATGTGCTGAAAATGTGGAAGGCGCTCAAAAACACAGAGGAGTCCTTGAACCAATCTTTGGTCAAATCAGTTAGTGATCCAGACAGATGAAGTCCCAGAGGCTGGTCATCCTCAGACCGGGACACTAGAACATTTTCATTAGTAGTATTTAAAAACTGTGCCTTCTTTGTCAGCACGGTTGCTTCAGCAAATGAAGAACATGTAGAAAATGTAGGGTTTATTTTGAACGTTATGGACACAAAGGGGATATTCTTTTTTGTTTTTCTAATATGAGCAAGAATAAGGAAATGAAAAGAAATCATTTATCAGTCTTTATCCTTTTGTTGATGCACTTACATATATCACAATTCATTTTAACTGTTACACTTATTACATTTTGTCACAAAGAATGATGCATCATTACTCCGATCTTCTGTTTTCATAATGGATACCTCCAGGCATAAACCTTTTGTTCTTTGAGACAAAACTGCTTTGAAGGGCAATCATGCAGGATTGTTTCAGCAAAATGCAGATACTTCAATACATTTATTATCAAATTCAAAAGGCTTTAGCAATAAGTGTTTCTAAGGTGTGAGTAATCAAGAGTGCGGACATTTTATGTCTGAATGCAAGAATTTATGGATTGGTAATGTTGAATGGCAAAACTGATTTGAATCTCCCTGGTGTGCTAAGTGCAGTGGTGCTTTAGAAACTAATAACTTGTGAAAGTGTGTGTTAGATAAATTATCATAAGTGGCATAAGTAATTCTTAACACTGTGTTTGATTCTTGTTGCTCATGGTGACATCTCTTCCTTCATTTAAACTAAACAGCTTTTATATTAAGCTTGTGTACGTTTTATCAAGGAAATAGAACCCCTTGTCATCTTTCATACACCATGCTTCAATGTTTGGCAACGTTTGACATTTCAATAATATTCCTCTTTCAAACTAAAGAGTAAAATATAACACCTTGGACTTAAACTGTATTCGACTTGCCCCTTTGATCTCATGTCAACATGCTCAGGCACTGGTCCTCTCTAATATGCAGTATGGCTTTTATTGAAACCTATTTGAATTCCCAGTGATAGACGCTGAAAATGTTCTTTGGAACATCCCTGTTAGAATGTGACTGACTAGAAATATGTGGTATTGCTTTTTTGGTTTGAGTAGTACTTTACATATGATTTGAACATCATCAAGCACAATAGGAAAAATATATATGCCTAAATATTAGTAGAATGTAAGACTGGGCAAATATCTGGCAGTTGATATTTAATGGAGATGAATGCAGAGTTCATAGAGAACACAGGGCTCAAAAAGGTAAGATTCAGATGCTATGGTTCAAACATCTCATTTTCAAGACAAGAAGAGAAAGCAATAGAAAAATGAAAACAAAATAGTAAAGGCTGTACATATACAGGATGTATATATAGTTCAAAGCATACATTGCAGATTGACAATAACAACCTAGTCACAATAAAAAAAGATTTGCATCTACTGAGAAATCTGAGCAATCACTAGCTCAATGTTACAACAGCAAGAAGAAACCAAGAAACATGTGGTCTCAGAGGATAATGCACCAGAAACTCCTCACTTATTTAAAGTAAGAACAAAGTGTTCTGATAAAGTGTTCA